AAGATTATGGAGTTGGGTTGGAAAGCTCTCCCCCACCAACCATATTCTCCAGATTACCATCGTTTTCGTTCCCTGCAACACCATCTTAATGGGAAACGTATGCAAATGTGGAAGGTGTTAAAGAGGACATCGACATGTATTTTGCTTCAAAGCCAAGTGATTTCTTTAATCACATTAACAACCTGGTTGTAAGATGGAAAAGCATCATCGATAAGAATGGAAACTATTTCATTTAATAAATGTTTTGTTTTGACATATAAGTTTTTCGGGTTTTTTTAATCTGAAAAAGCGACATTAATTTCTTGACGACCTAATATTTTGATACACATTATAATGAGTATTTTTGCTGTCAGATATCCTTTTGTTCTAAAAATATAATGCTAATTTAATAATAGTCCTAAACTGCTACAATTAAATTATTCAGTTAAAAAAAATCTTGCACATAATACAACACAAAACTGACTTATTATAGCCTTACCATGAAATATGTCTGTTTATATACAGACAAAATTAAATATGAATTTATTTTTTGTCACAGTTACCATATTCTTGTTTTCCTACTTACCGCTTATGTAAAGCGTACATTAGATTTTCTCAAGAGAGAGAGAACGGTGACTTATCAACTACACCCACAATAGTCATCGGCCCTAAACGAGCCGGTTTGTTTGTGCATCTGGGGTCGGGCACCTGGCTGATACTTCTGTCAACCTACCTTCTTAAACTGGTGAATGTCACCATATACCGAATAAATTTTCTTGTTACAGTCTCACGAGCACAGTTGTGTGCATGCAGCCGTTTCGGCAGTCACGCGATATGTCTCTGACGTAGTAGCTTGAGGTCCTGGAACACGTGGTGATTTAGAATGACTTTTGAAAATCGAAGAAAACTTTCTCATTTGGTAAGGGATTCTCCAAGGAGTTCGACGAGGCAAAGGTTATGATCATTCACGGTAGCCTTAAGCATGGTACTAACATGAAACAGATGTTTACTTGACGTTTTTGCATTTAAGGAATGTTTCTGTTAAATGTGATTTTCCTAAGCTGATCTAATTGGAAATGGTCTGAAATCCTTTGGCAGTTAGTGCTCATGTGGCCACTGCTTTAAGAAATCTTTACATGACGAATTTGTCACCTGAGTTAAATCTAGATGAATTGTTATTCATTCCGTTCTCAAACTACCATCGACCTTCAACCTTCTGCAGAGGTATGTAGAATGATATGTAGCTTTCTTGATGTTTAATTAAATACATCACAGTATTGGTATTATGGTAGATAAGTCAATACACAATCTATTAGTTGAACCCAGACACGTTTTTTAATGTTCTTAGTTACATTCGTCTATTTTTAAATCTAGACTTCTTAGATTTTTTGAAAATTTAATACTATCTATGAGATTGAATCTTGAGTCATTTAACTACAAATACTGCACACACACGACATAATGTATTGAATTAAAATAAGCAAATTTTAATATATAAGTTGTAGCTATACATGCCATGAAAAAGTGGTCAGGCCATGGCCTGACTGGCCTTACCTCTTCCTACGACCGTGTTCCCCGAGTTCAGGCAGCAATGAAATCCTCCAACAACAAAAAAAGATTTAGCATCAAAGCGTTCTACATTTTTTTACGTTGTTTTAAATACTGGGTTCTAAGTAAGTTTCCAGCTTTTTAAATATCACTCTGTTTCGGGAACAGAAATAGATTTGATAATGGGTGGTAATCTTCTCGCAATACTGCTAGAAGTAAATGATATTTTATAACATTCTAAAGCATAATGATAACCAAATTGTCTCTGTTACGATTTAATTGTACCTGAAGTAACCCTATGGCCAACGTTGTACAGTAAATTCATTTATGATAAGACTGTTGAACACAGATTCAACTTATTTTCTTTCATTAATTCATGATTACCACTTGACAAACACTATCTTCGTTAAATAAAATAACAGCCATTTTATTTTCTAATTTGTTATCTTAGACCAGATGTAATTGATTATAGTCATTATAATCAAGACAGTGATTTATACAGCAAGGTTTGTCGTTTAATAGGTTACGCATTGTTATCTTTCTAAAGACTAAACGGTTTAGTTTCTGAGGGTATTTTTGGTGTTTAAAGCTATGAATAGGTAGAATTTATATAAAAATCTAGTCAGATGCAAAGATGAAAACTTTATTTGTGTGTTATAAAACGTCAGTATAAAATAAATTATGGTATTGTTACAGTCAACATTTTTTCACGGTGGTAAGTTTTCGGACCTACAACGCTAAAATCCGGGGTCCGATTCCCTGCGGTGGTCACAGTAGATAGCCTGATGTGGCTTTACTCTAAAAACAAACAAACAGTCACAAAGTCCTCTCAGATTATCGTAAGGAAGAATTTTTTCTTTATATATTTTAATAAGTTTCATTGAACGCGTTCACTATTGGGTTATAGTGTACATTGATATAATCTTGTGAAGTTTTATAGGTGAAATATTTAATACTTTAGGTAATTATTGTAACACAGCTGACAGTTTATAGTCAATACCCTCAAGGGATCGGCCAACATTATCCCTGGAGCCTTAGACGTCGCCCCAGAAGTTTTTAAAGCATGGTTTGTTTGTTTTGGAATTTCGCGCAAAGCTACACGAGGGCTATCTGCGCTAG